ATAATAGTTACATGGTTGTGGACATTCATAATGGGCCATGAGAAAGGCATTGGGTTGACCGGTTTGTCAAACAGGGCCCAATTACCAGTACCGGCAATTTTGCAGATAACAGTCCGAAATGAATTTCGGAGACTTTTAAATTAAGGTTGGGGAATGTATATTCATTCTTAAGATCCATAATTGTTATGGACATTTAATATATTTTATTTGACCCGATAAAATAAAATATAATTAAAACAGTCCGAGAAATACAACTTTCGGAGTCGATTGTACACACTGGGACACAAAGGGATGACCTCCCACATGCGTGGGGGCCACCCCACGGTTTTGTCAACCCTTGGAGACTTGATTGAGTGCAAATGGGGCTGGAAACCCTTGAAGGGATGGGGGAGACCATCTTGACACCTAAGGGACCCCTCTCACACTCATATGGCTAATATGCCAAAAAGGAGAACCCACCCCATTTCCCTCATCACCCAACTTCGACCAAGACACCAAGGAGAGAGAGAGAGTGAGCTCTGAAAACCTCCATCTCCATTGTTGAAGAAAGCTCCAAGAGCAAGGAACTCGAGGAAGAAGAAGGAGTTGCAAAACTAGAGGAAAACCTTGGGAAGAAAGGTAAGAAGCTCTTGAACAACTTTTCTCTTACCTTTTGATTGTCATATGAGTTATAGATCATATGAAATACCCTTGGGGTTAGTTCCACACATTAAAAGTGTAGAATGAAGGGTTGAAGGATGGTTTCAAGTCCAAGAACGGACTTAGAGACCGAAGAGACCGGCTCGCCGGAAAATGACCTTTTAGAGGTTATTTGTATTAATTTGGGTTTTGTAATGATAAAACCTTGTTAGGCCCTTGTCAAAGGTGATTTAAGAACTTTCACGAAGTTGAAAGAGTCGCCGGAGTTGTCGCCGGAGTTCGTCAAAGTTCGCCGGAGTTTCATCGGAGTTCAACCAAGAAGGGTAGAACTTCATAACGCTCATTCGAGGTGAGTGGACGGCTTAATGTCTTATAACTCTTGGGTTAAGTATGAGATTACCTAAATGAATGTTATAAGTATTCATAATGATGTTTAAAAGAGTTTAAGCATGCGATTAGCCAAGGTGATTAGGCTTATGTGAATGAAACTACATGATTATGCATGTGGGAAGTAGAAAATATATATAAAAACATATGCGATGTTTTGGATGGCCAAAATGGCATTTATTGATTGTTTTAGACATGATATAGGTTGTATAAAAATTTCGGATCAAACGGATCACGTTTCGGGGGTCAACTCGGGGGTCAACGGGCCGTTGACCCAAAACTCCGAACATACCCGGCGCCGGGTATAGGGCATACCCGGGGCCGGGTAAGCTGCTAGCTGCCTCCATATTACGTTTTTGCCGAAAACGCGAATCGGAGCCCGGTTCGAAGGGGGGTTGATCCCGTACAACCTACGTGTGTATATTGTGCATGGAATTGCATGGAATATGATATTTAAATGTCAAGGTTGAAATTTATTGATTTAATTCTAAGACTTGGTTTAGTCTTTAGTAATAATATGATATAGACCCTATCTAGTGTGATATGTGGTAAGTCATAGGTCGGGTGGAGTACCCGGGGATCGGGCGTGTATCCTCAAAACTCAGTTATAGGGTGGAATACCCAAGGATCGGGCGGTTATCCTCAAAACTCGGTTATATAGGGTGGAGTACCCAAGGATCGGGCGGTTATCCTCAAAACTCGGTTATATAGGGTGGAGTACCCAAGGATCGGGCGGTTATCCTCAAAACTCGGTTATATAGGGTGGAGTACCCAAGGATCGGGCGGTTATCCTCAAAACTCGGTTATATAGGGTGGAGTACCCAAGGATCGGGCGTGTATCCTCAAAACTCATAGATTACATTTAATAATCTAGGACCGGGTGGTGTCCCTGTGGTAACTTACTTGAACAAGGAGGAGTTCTATACACTCATAAGTATATGGGTGGGTTGGGATTTAAGTCAAGGACATTGGCTTCTATTATTTTCCCAAATAAACAATGACCTACGGGTCGGGTATTTCCAAGTGTATATATACTAATATGTATTTCAAAACTTGGGGGAAGGACTATACGTATACGTATCACCCTATGTTTGGGTCTTATACTTAAAACGTTAGTTATTCTACATTTAGCTTGCTACTCGCTCGGTACTTGTACTGACCCCTTCGGGGGGGGCCACCATTTCAGGTTGAAGCTCAAGTTGTTATTCTCACCTTGCTCGGTGAAGTGATCCAAAAGGGGATGTGGTTCGTGCTTCCTTTATTTTTTTCAAACTATAAACTATGCTCATGGATACTTTGTAATAAATACATTAGTTTTGGGCCTGCGTGCCTACGTTTTGGCCATGTGTGGCCCACGATTGAATATTGAATATTTCCGCTATTCGTTCAATCCTAATATGTGATGTTGTTATGTATGTTTACTTTCTGAGTATGGTATGGACTATGTTCATGGACGCCTTGTTTGACTAAGTTACGTTGACTCGCGGGTGACGTCATTTAGTCATACGGCGGTTGTACACGCGCTCAGATTCGGTCTGGGGTGTGACACGTAGAGTACAATAATTTAGGAGACCAGACTGATCTCTCATGCGACATGATCCTAAATTATTGCCAAGATGAGCGAGCTTACGGCCCCTTAATTGTTACTAGTCTCTTAGCGAATGATTAAGTGTGTGTGAATGTGTCCTAGAATAAACTAGATCTCTCTTAATTTATTCTACAAGCAATTGTAATTCTAGTCGCGGTTCCAGGTTACAAAAGATATCAGTTAAATTATTCAAACACAAATTAAACGGCATTCATGCAATTAAACCGGAAAGAATCTAGCCATCAATCATGATTAACCCCTTCATCAACCCCAAATTCCTAATTAAACTGCTCACAATTCATAATTGAAGAATCAACAGAATTGGGATGAATAGAATAAATTGTCATTAATTAAAAAGATGAACTTACAAATAATCCCAGGGTCTTGGAAGAAAATAGCGTAAAAACGATGTTAAATTCGTCCCTAGGCCTCTCCGTAATGTTCGTAACCCCCAAAAAGGGGTATGGATGCCTTATTTATAGAAAACAGTAGAATTCGAGCTGAAATAGGACAAATCGGGGCCAAACACGACGCCAGACACGATCGTGCCTGGGACTGTGCCTGCGGAGCATGCGCGCGTCTCGGGTGCAGGCGCGATCGTGCCTAGCCAGGACACGATCGTGTCTGGCCAGGACACGATCGTGCCTGGCTGGCAGAATGGTACCGTGCTATCTTCTTCCAGGCACGGTCGTGCCTAGGCCTGAGCACGGTCGTGCCTGGCCTTTTCTACAACATTTTTCTTCGTTTCTTGCTCCAAATGCTCCTGGATGCCTACGAGGTCGATCCAAATGCTCTTTCTTCATCAGAATTTCGTCGTGAATCTCCCGGTGACCTCCAGATCTCTCAAATCTTTCTTGAACGCCTTCAAATCCTTCCCGAATGCCTCTCAAGCGTCGATTGCCGGACTCCAACTTCTTCAATTCAACTCCAATTGCAACAAAACTCGATCCAACGCCTGCAAAACACAACTTGAGCTAAAATTGAGACTTGCAACGCCTTAAAGCTAGGAAAACCATCAAAATCCGACCCGAACACGCATCAAATGCGTGTTCAAATACGGACTTATCAGCTTTACAAGTCAACTTTTTCAACAAACACGTAACTTTTGATTTCGCGCACTGGATTGTGTAATACTCTGTAATAGGAAAAAGTAAGATTGAAGTTACTTTTCTAATTATATTGGCTGAATTTATGGTAGATGATCGTTTTAACTACTTCTCATATGTATTTTCCTTTACTTTATTAATACAATATATTTTAAATACTCTCTCCGTTTTCTAATAGATGGGAGTATAGAGTTTGACACAAGTTTTAAGGGGAAGGTAATAGGGGTAGTGTAAAAGGTGTAATGAGTTGTGTTTGAATGAAAAAGTAGGAAAGAGAATGAAAAGTAAAAAAGAGAATGAGAGTATATTTATTGAAAAAACTTTCCAAAAATGAAAAGAGAGACAAATATTCAAGAACACCCCAAATTAGAAAGTGAGACACCTATTAGAGAATGGAGGGAGTATAATTTTTCATAAATAATCAAAACTAACAGATCCAATTGAACTTCATAAATTTCAACAAAATTAATCAATGTACTTTTTAGCTGATTTTGGTACTAGCAAATGGGGTCTACATAGTGATGTGGTCCATGAGTCCATGTTCATTATTGATGTGAATATCTAAGTAGCACGGAAACGGGAAACGGGCCCGTGAAACGGGAAACTGGAAACCCGAGAAACGTAATTTCTAAAAAAATATAGGACACAAAACGTGGGGGAAACGCATAAATATTATAAAATATAAGGATATATTTATAAATATTTTTTAATATATGTACACAAGCTTTTCCATATGCACATGTTTTTTTAATATAATTTGTTTAGTCACCAAATAATAAAATCACTCTAAATTTAGATATTATTTCATATTAGTACATACCTAAACATAAAATGTACGGAGTAATACATTTCTAGCAATACATTGCTTTACGAAATGTAACAAGTGTTGCTGCTTAGAAATACCACAAAAATTCACCATAAAAAATTATTTTTCACCACAGAATCTTTTGAAAAAGAAAAAAATTGGAATCCAAGGTTTCCGAAACGTAGTGAAACGGGTTTCTAAATTTTTCTTAATTACGAAAACGGTTTCGAAACAGAAATTTGAAGTTTCTGAGGTTCCGAAACGCTTCCGAGTTTTGGAAACGTGAAAATGTGAGTCATGGAGAGTTTCCGTACTTCTACCATGTGATCCACACTCTAAAAAGGTGTGAGTGTGAAAGTCTGAAATTACTCTCTCTGGTCAAAGCTCGCAGAGCCAGTTAAAAGTGAGCGGACATAGGGCAGCACGCTACAGTGATACAGTGTATTTAAAACTGGCCTTCCAACGTGGTCAGTTTCCACCCTCACATGGTCCTTCATTCTCAAAGACGGACACATCACTCTCTTCTCTTCATCATCTCTTAAAGCATCATCGAATGCAGATGTCCCGACTGAGATGGACCCGGCTTTCATGGCAGGAGGATCTGGCAGCCAGATAGGCGTCTTAGTGCCGTCGGTGAAATTGGAACCGAAAGTTTCCGGAGATTCGCCTCCGCCGCCGGTGCAGGGGCAAAAGACGTCCCCGGTGAAGGCGGAGCTGGATAAGGACGTGCAGTGCCCGATATGCATGCAAGTCGTGAAGGACGCGTTTCTGACCCCCTGCGGACACAACTTCTGCTATATGTGCATCGTCACTCATCTTAAGAACAAAAACGACTGCCCTTGTTGCTCCCAGTACCTCACTACAAAGCAGCTCTATCCTAATTTTCTTCTCAATAAAGTACACTTTTCTTCTTTCAAGTTAATGTGCCTTGTCTATTTATTGGGAATTTTAGTTTTGAACTGCTGGTTTAAATTCAATTAGAGTGAAGCGGTTCCTGTACAAAGCTAGGTTGCTTTGGGTTTATTACTATATTGCTTGAATATCCTATGTGGCGCATCTAAAGATTCTGATGCTTCCGCTGTAAATTATTAATCTTCATACAATGGAACTATGGAAGGGATCAATGATAAATTATTTGCTTCAGTAGGATCCAACATAGACTTTTAAGCTTGTTGTTTTTTTAACTTTATATTGAGATAAGGTGCCTGACGTTTTACAACATGGGTATTTTATTATACTTATCTTTTTGGCAGCATTAGTACTGACAAAAACTACTTTCTTTAAATCAAATCATGCTGAAATGTATGCGTCCATGTTGCAGTTATTGATGAAGACTACTACTCACCAGATTTCCAAAACAGCATTACCTGTGGAACAGTTTTGCCGGGCTATACAAGAGGTCAGTTATTATGCCATGCAGCTGAAAATAATAAAGAAACTCTTTTACATCATGACTATAGACTAATTTTATGATGCGCGGTTGCAGTTTATACTGTTCTACATTATATAAGAGATTAAGAGTGACAAGAATTTGTCTTCTTTTATCCAATCACATACTTTGAGTTGAATAAACTACCTAACTTAACCCCCAAACATTCACCATCATCACTAGATATGAATAAGAAGCACGTTTCACAGATATGCTGACCCTTTAGAAATCTAACTCCGGGATAGGCATGTTATGTATCCACTACTACCCAAAAAGATTTCTTCTGATATTGTGACTAAGTTCCTCATTTGTGGAGTTGCAAATTTTTATGAAGTATTTCAGCATTTATGTCATTTTGCTTTCTAAATGTTTTTACAAAATGATAGTGCAGTCTCTTGGTTCTGTGGCGCAACTAATGTAACAAATTTATGTATTTCATTAAATTATGCCTTGTAGACCCGACTTATAATCATGAATATGTCCAAATGAACAATCTGCATCTGTTGGAGTTGATGCTTGAAACAGGTATTTGAATTATGAATGGTAAACAAAAAAGAAGCTTCTTTCCCTGTAGTTACTGCTCAAGGGTTCGAATTGTATTAATATCATTTTCAATTCAATTCAACACCTTAAACCCAACCTGTTGGGGTCAGTACGTAAACATTGCCGTGCTAATTAATCTATAGAGCTAAGATAAGCTAACATGGCATAGTCATGCAAAAACATCCCTTACTTGGCTGAAATTCTAAAACTGACTTCATCTTAGGTTATTTCCAGTAAATAAATTCTAAAACTGTCATCATCTCACAGGTTATTTCTTGTTTCCACTTTCAAAAAACTTGTTTTCATGCCCATTAGGGACATTACAAGATTGACATTGTAATTTTAATTTGCAAACCTTAGATCACAGTAGAATTTTCATACTTTTGTTCATTTTTAGTGTCATTTCTAAGATTTGGAAAAGTTGTAAACTTACATGGCAAACGGAATGGAATACTTTGAATGACCAGAATTTTTTATTATCAAAATCATATATTCTGTTTCCATGTTTTACTGTTGCCCATCTCAGGTCTAGCATACTTCTCATATAACTTGACTGGTGATCATTAGACAGGGATGCAAGATGTCAGCTAAGGAGCTTGATAGTCTCTTATGCCTTCTTTCTGAGAAGAAAAAGAAAGCAGAACTAGAAGAAACTGAGGCAAACTTGCAGCTTTTGTTCAACTTTTTGCAGTGCTTAAGGAAGCAAAAACTTGATGAGCTTCATGAGGTAACTCACATTAGCCTCTGTTCTGAATGTACTTGTCAGTTTCTTGTTGTTAGGTAGTTAATGGAATAGTATTTCTGAAAAGCTCTAAGAAAAATAACATACTTTCCATGCAACTGATTTTTTGATATGCTGTTAAAACATTAAAAAAGTTTTGCTGTAAATATATGTTTGCTGAAATGTCAGAGAATGTTACAGATTCTATTATGCATTTCCCACAGATTCGAGATGACCTTGAATACATCAAAGAAGACATAAGGTCTGTGGAGAAATATAGACTAGATTTGTATCGGGCAAGGGATAGATGCTTAGCCAAAACAAGAATACTTTGGGGGGAGTCTTCAGCAAAATCCCTTTCATTGCGTGGTCAACAAAGTCTTGGCACGATTTCCAATGTTCCTAATGCACAAGGAGAGTCCCTTGCAGTCTCCAATAGCCTTCAATCCCGGATAACTAAAGCTCCTCTCAATTATCAACAAATCCAAATGGAGGATGGACTCAATGGGTCAGTTCCAGAGCATGCTGTAGCAAAGAGGAGGCAAGTCCATGCACAGGTACTTGCATTTTCTTGGTTTAGGTGATGTTGTCTTCACCTTATGTTTTATATTTTTATTTATCCATATCATACTAGAAACATTTAGCCTGTATGAGACCAAATGTTATTTCAGATGGGAAAAATATTCTTGTTAATAGACCAGAAAGATTAGGACCAGATCACACAAGAAGTATTCAGACTAAACTAGATCTTTAATAAGAAATCAGGTCACATTTTTCAGATGAAGAGAACTAATCCTTATTTCCTGCATGATATGGTCGTATTTGTAAGCGACTGATGTTTGACAAATCTATTTGTCTGGGGATTTAGGAGATTGTTTGAAGATGGAAAGGCTTTTATGGAAAAACTTCCATTGTTCCCTTATGCAACTACGCCCTCCCCGCATACTCACACAATTTGCTTATTTATTTTGGTGTCTAACCTGATGTTTATGTATTTTGTTGAATTGCAACAGTTCAATGATCTACAAGACTGCTATTTGCAAAAACGGAGACGCGGGGCCAGAAAATCTCAAAAACAGGAAGAGAATGTGGTGATCGATGGGTCAAAAGAGGGATATAATACAGGACTTGATGAATTTCGACATGTTTTGACGACTTTTACACGATACTGGTCTGTTTTGTTGTTCATGTACTAAATGTTTTGTGTTGTGCTATATAGCTCAAACTTATGGTGTATCTTTGTTGGATATAGCCGATTGCAAGTTGTTGCTGAGTTTAGGCATGCAGATCTTTTCCACACTGGCAACATTGTTTCAAGGTTAGCAATGTCTGCCTTTTGTGAAAAATATCAAAGATGGAGATTTTTCTGCAAATAGCTCTAAAAGGTTATGTCTTCACACACGCAAGTCTCAAAGGACTTTGCTTTTCATGTGTAACTTTCTCTTGGCTATTGCAGTATAGAGTTTGATCGAGATGATGAACTATTTGCTATAGCTGGAGTATCAAGGCGCATCAAGGTCTTTGAATTTGCATCTGTAAGTGGTTAGTTAACGTTAATTACCATTCCTTTCTTAAATAATTCTCACTCCGTCCTGGAAAGGTTCGCCAACTTTGACTTTCACGTAGATTAATAAAGTAAAAACTGTGTGATATGAAGCGGGAAGAGCATGGGGCGGGACGGGCTTGAGCCCACCTTCGTGGGCTGGCTGCGGACAATTTAATTAATTTTAATTATTCCTTTTATTTTGTTTCCTAATTTATTTTGTTTCCTAGTATGATTTAATTAAGACATCTATTAATTAGAGGTTTCCTATTTCTATTTAGTTTCCTTGAATGGATTAATTAGGACTCCTATTATGTTTCTTACTAGGATTTAGTTTCCTATTCAGTTTTGGATGTAAGGGTTATATAAACCTCTGCCTAGGCTTATTCAAATCAAGCATTAATAATATTGGTTTTAGCTATTTAGCTCTGGGCAACGGATCCAGCCGTTGATTATTTTGGGCAACGGGTTACCCCGTTGATTTTATTTTTCTGTTCTTATCAATTGATTCGACCTGCCGGATCCCGTCCCGCCAAGATGACGAGATCTCAGAATGATCGATTGACAGAGCTGGAGAACGAACAAACTCGTATGAGAGAAGAAGTGACCCGGATAAGGGCCGAACAGGCAGAGCATGGTGTCAAGCTGTCGGAGATCATCGCCTCACTAGCGGCGTTGACCCAGGCGATGGTCCCGCCGGTCACACCGAAGAAAGCTGCGGATGACGTGGGTCGAATCCCGGCAACCGAGCTGCATGGAGAAGGCGTGCTGAACAATCCAACTATAACGCTGCTTCCGTCATTCGATGGGGGAGACCCAATTGGGTGGATCGCTCGGGTAGAGCAACAGTTCGAATTACACAACACTTTACCGGAAAAGAAGGTGGCTGCCGCGATGGTAGCTATGGAAGGAGGAGCGCTTTACTGGGTGACCTGGCTGAGATCGCGCAGGCCCGGGATGACTTGGGCAGATTTCAAGCAAGCCTTGGTGGACAGATTTGATTCTCGATTTCAGGGGAATAAGTATGAACGATTGTCTGGAGTCAGGCAAATTGGGTCTATAGAAGATTACAATATCTTGTTTGTTCAGCTAGCAAGCCAAGTTCTAGGGTTACCCGATGAGCACTATTTGGGATATTACATGAGCGGTCTTAAGGAGATAATTCAAAGCTCGCTGCGATTGCTCCGACCAAACAACCTGGAGATGGCTATGGAATTAGCTCGCGAAGTGGAGTATAATCTGTCCGTCCAAAGTGGAGAAAGTGGCAGCCTGAATTATCATTCATCAGGGGTACATTCTAGCAGCCTTTTAAGGGCAAACACAGGTTCCCCGTTGACTGCCATTGGTGGCAGCTTACCGGGTTCAGAGGGTAGCTTTGCGAAAGATAGTGGACAGCCTCCGGGGACGAAGTCAGGGTTGTCTGGGCAGCCTACGACACGCTCTCAGTTCACTCGACTTCCGCCGAAAGAGTTTGCAGAACTGCGAGCGAAAGGATTATGCTTTAGGTGCAAGAAACCATTTACACCAACACATGACTGTCCCTTTAAGCAGCTGCGGGTAATGATAGCTGAGGAGGATGAAGAGTTGGACCTCAAGCAGCATGAATTCTGTGAAATAACCGGTCAGGAAAAGGTCCCGGAAAGAGAAGAAGGATATTTTCCAGTCTATACTATGTCTGGAAATTTCAGTTCCCGATCCGCGAGTTTTCAACCTTGAGGACAAGGTTAATTTGAAGGAGGATGGATTGATATGAAGCGGGAAGAGCATGGGGCGGGATGGGCTTGAGCCCACCTTCGTGGGCTGGTTGCGGGCAATTTAATTAATTTTAATTATTCCTTTTATTTTGTTTCCTAATTTATTTTGTTTCCTAGTATGATTTAATTAAGACTTCTATTAATTAGAGGTTTCCTATTTCTATTTAGTTTCCTTGAATGGATTAATTAGGACTCCTATTATGTTTCTTACTAGGATTTAGTTTCCTATTCAGTTTTGAATGTAAGGGTTATATAAACCTCTGCCTATTCTTATTCAAATCAAGCATTATTAATATTGGTTTTAGCTATTTAGCTCTGGGCAACGGATCCAGCCGTTGATTATTTTGGGCAACGGGTTACCCCGTTGATTTTATTTTTTTGTTCTTATCACTGTGTGGTTAAAATTTGTGCAGAGGAGAGAGAATTAACTTTAGCCACATATTCCTTACTTAAAATGAAAATGACAAATCTTTTTGGGACATACAAAAAAGGAAATTTGGCAAACCTTTTTGGGACGGAGGGAGTATATACATCAGAGAGAGGATACCAGTTGAAGGGACCAAATAAGTCTAAAGACGTATGCATATAGTCATATGGAACATATGCAGGATCTATATATAGCATAATTTAACTGTTAACATGAATACATAAGTAAAAAAACCGAAGAAGGGTAATGGATATTATTCTTTCCTAACAGGGAGCACTCTATTATAGAGAAATATGCGACTCATATGAGGGACTTGAAATCATAATCCAGTTCAATCAGAGTCTAGACATCTATCACAACTGAATGACTAATTTATATATAGTTAGAGGGTTATAAACAAGAGCCACCAATTGAATGTTAATAATACTCACTCTGTCCCTTAAACGTTAAACTTGATATTTTCATTTTTTATTGTACCAAATAAATTTCCCTTTTTTCTTTTCTCCTTAAACAAATATCAATTATACAATCTCTACTATATTAATACATGTGCAATAGCAAACATGAAGTTTATTTAGGGACATATGGATAATATTTTTAAAATTATGCACTAGCAGCCTAAATTTTTTATAGGAAAATTCTCGAAATAGGAGTATTGTGCTTATATTCCTTAAATGAGAGTAATAACAAACATAGTAATACCAAAATATTGCAGTAATTCTATTTAGGGAATACAAACATAGTAGTTCTATTTTGCAATTCACAGACGTTTCTTTTACTTATGTAGTTCTGTTTAGGGAATCAATCTTATATTTATCTAATGCTAATTGATAATAGTAGGACTGGAATATGTTCATATTTATCCGGAGATGAAAAAATTTCAGGTTGTAAATGAACCGGCAGATGTGCAGTGTCCTGTTGTGGAAATGACCACCCGCTCCAAACTGAGTTGTTTAAGCTGGAACAAGCACAAAAAGAATTACATAGCAAGCAGTGACTATGAGGGCATAGTTACTGTTTGGGATGTGACTACTCATCAGGTGAAATTTCTTATGAGTTTGACAGTCATTCAAAAGTACATTCTTGAAAAACTGTGCGTACTTCAGTGTTTTAAATGGACTTTAATGTTGTTGGTCAGAGTGTCATGGAGTGTGAGGAGCATGAAAAACGAGCATGGAGCGTTGATTTTTCTTGTACTGAACCTTCTATGCTGGTTTCTGGAAGTGATGATTGCAAGGTATATAGGAATTAAATTGCTTAGAGGAATTAAACGGCTCATCAATTTTTAATGTCAAAGTGCTTAGAGGAATTAAATTTTTTGTGGTATTAAGATTGGACCAGCCAGTTGGACTGGGACTGGCTAGTAAACTGTTCTCGCTAACTCACAAAACAGATGGGGTTAGTAAATGGTTAAAACCCTCCAAAATCAGATTAAACTGGGCTAACTGGAAATTCGACCAGTTTGATTTTTTTGTTTGCTTAAACCAAAGAGATAATTCTGTCTACTCTTGGGAAGTTTGGGTCAAGATGATGTAGATAATTTTTTTGTTTGCTTTAACCAAAGAGATAATTCTGTCAACCATCGACTCTATAATATTACTTCTGCGAATTGAATGTAGATGAAATTTTTGTTAATTAAATTTGATTTCTATTGCTGATGAGTATTTTATATTATTTTATTTGGTTACGTAGTATATAGTTATACTACGTAAAAATTATTACTATTAAAAGGAAAACATGGGCTTTCCTCAAATGTTTGATTTTTTTCTTTACACTTACAACTTGGTTGTTAGACTTTCACCCCGTGTGTACCTAAATAATTTACTCTGCACCCATTTTATGTGCATTCTCCAAGGTTCCAAACTTCCAATTCATGGGATGTTAAGTCAAGTGTTGGGGTAAATCATGTTTGGCAAAACCAAAATATCCCTTTAAATATAGAAACTGCATGTGTTTTTCCTAAACATGAGTACTCTGTTTTTCTTCCCTGAATAGGAGTAAGTACTCTCATACTGAAAAAATATTGTCATATTATTGCATTAATGCTGCTATATTATGACATTAATACTGCTTGATAATGCCATAATGTAACAATATGATTTCAGGATATCATTGTTACAATATTACTTTACTCCTTAAAGAAAAAAAACATTGAACTCCTATTGAGAGAAACTACCATGTTTTACTTCTTTTTTGGGAAATTTTCATTTAAAAGATAGGGGCTTTCTGAAGTGTGCTCATGAGCCAAAATGAGGTTTTTTCTACAGTCTGCCCATGGGACGCATGACAAGAATCAATTATTTGGAATTTAATACTGATCCTTGTTAAATGCACATTTATTTTTTACTTGAAAATTGAAATGAGGCACAATTAATGTTCATAATTGGATCAACTAGTTTTCCCTATCAGATCAGACTAATGAACCAGCACCTTGATCAATTCAGTTAGTCCCCCGTTCCTTAATACCACAAATTTCTACTATTAGTCTGGAAAGACTGCATATTGGTCTTGTGTTACCACTTGTAAACCAATATATGTCAAGTATTCTACAACTCAGATAACTTTGAAAGGTAGGTTGATTTTGTGTTGTCGTGGGGTCAAACATCCAAATGTCATTTGCAATAGGATAGACATTCTTGAGAAATTGCTTTTCCTAAAGATTGAAAGAAATAGCTTTTGATGAACAGGTGAAAGTATGGTGCATGAGGCAGGAAGCCAGTGTTCTAAGCATTGACATGAAAGCGAACATATGTTCTGTGAAGTTCAATCCAGGATCAAATTTTCATGTGGCAGTATGTGCTATTTCCATCTTTTCCCTTGTTATTGAATGGCATATATGGATGCAGTAAATATATTAATTTTGTTTCCCTAATGATTATGTTGGTGTCCGACAGGTGGGCTCTGCTGATCACCACGTTCATTATTATGACTTGAGAAATATTAGGCAACCCTTGCATGTATTCAGTGGGCACAGGAAAGCTGTTTCGTACGTAAAGTTCATGTCCAGCAATGAACTTGCATCTGCATCAACTGATAGCACAATGCGTTTGTGGGATGTCAAGGACAACATTCCAGTTAAGTATTATTTCTGATCATCATTATCAATTTCATATTTTTGTGTAAATGAGATTGATCTTGATGCAACTATAGGCTTCAACTTGCTTGGGAATAACTCATGAAATGCTGTGCCCCCCCCCCCCCCCTTCCCCCCAAAAAAAAATTGTATGGAGCACATAAGTGCTCATTAAAGCTCGTTTCACTTCTTTCATCATTAATTATAAGATCCCATTTGCTAAGAAAAACTTGGTGGAAAGATAAGCAAGTCAAAAGCTGCTTATTCTTCTGCCGAGATAAGCAGAAAGATAATTAGGCTACCAAGCCAAAGTGCGGAACCTAATTTTGCTGATTGTGTGGTTAAATCATACAGAAGTAGGTCTTAATACATCACGGGAATAGTATCTAAATAATATTGAAGTTAGCAATGTAAGTTCATTTCATTTACGCCAGTTCATTTTATTCACTTTTCTGTGTGTGGGCACGTGATTACGAGTCATTAATGTGTTTCATTTTCAAGTCTGAAGAAAATATTTGATAATGAAAAGGTTATCGTGATTTAAAAGATGAATCACTACAATTTTTACAATTATCATCATTGCCATAGGTAATTTAAGAAAACAATAAACGCTGATTTATTTTTCGTATCTTGTGCCCATAGGCACACTTTAGAAGCCCCTTTTATTATTATAATCTGATTCAACATCTACGGCACTAAAATAAGTTATATTTGGCAGGAAACTTGACTAGTAATATTGATTGTTTGTTACTCCATTCTAATTAATTTTGAGCTTTCAGCTGCGCACTTATAGAGGGCATACAAATGAGAGGAATTTTGTGGGTCTTACAGTAAATAGCGAATACATAGCATGTGGTAGTGAAAGAAATGAAGTTTTTGTTTATCACAAGGTAACCTCTCTTTCTGTATATCTATCTTTGTATCTCTCTCTAGAGGTTCTGCAATGAGCTTGATCAGGTGAATAGTTAAGTTCTTTATTTGGAATGTGTGTAGGCGATATCTAAACCTGCGGCTTGGTACAGTTTTGGTTCGGATAGGAATGAGTCTGATGGAGAAAGGGGAGCGTGCTTCATCAGTGCCGTTTGCTGGAAAAGCGACAGCTCCGCTATCCTAAGTGCAAACAGTCTTGGGACTATAAAAGTTCTTTCACTTGCTGCTTAGAATGACCAATTAAAACATTTAAATGGATTATAAGGAATCAAACACAGTATATAATGAGCAATTACTTCGGTTTACGTAGAATATGTAGTTTGTTAGTGCCCGTTTGGTGATCTATTATTTGATTTATATTTTGATCAGGTTTTATACCATGTACTAATTTATGGATTATATTGGCTAAACTAGAACATAATTGTAACTGACTTTTTTTCTCAAACGAATGCAAAAGAAATACGAGTATTCATTAGATTATACAAGGTTCAACCATTGCGAAACATTTCAGAATTCCAATAATATAGATAAATCGTATGAATCGTTAATATGTTTTGTACTTTTGTATGGTTTGAGACTTTGAGTTTGAGTGCATGGTTTGTTGCTTAAAAACCAAACTACATTTGTATTTCACATGAGTTTATTTATAAATAGTTGGTATTTTAAAATTGTAATCTTGCTACGAAAGAAACTGAAATAAGAAAGAAAGTTAAATTTGTTTAAAGTTTTAATTATTTACTTTATTTGTAATAGTAGTGCAATGGCCATCATGAAACCATGTGTATCAGTGTATGGGTGACATTTCACATACTGCGCATATTCGAATATGAGAATATATAAATTAGTAAAAATTAACCCTAATATCTGTAATATCACCGGTTGAAAGATCAAAAGACGAGTCACAGCAATCACCATTTTGAATCTCAATAACTGTTTAAAAAAGTATCTCACCTCACATCTATGTACTCTAAATGTTAGCAGTTAGCCCCTAAATCAATAAGAGCTTTGCACATTCTCTCTCAATCACTTAGCCAATCCAACATTTAAACCTCCCTAGTCTGGCACTTCCCCAGATAGGCATGGCCTCGGGACGGGTCGGGCGTAGGCCCGGCCAGACATTTTATGGTTGGGGGAAAGGCCCATGACCGGCCCGGGTTTCCACCAGGTCTGGTTCGGGCCGGTTTATATTTTTTTTTTTTGCTTTCCTAACTGTTGAGGATCTATTCCGTCACTGTATTCCGCCTCAGGCAGTCCGAAGCTCGATTCCAACAGTCTCTTGTGCACTCCTAAGCTAAGGGAGCAACTTTCCTAGACAGCCATGCCTACACTCACCCTCTAACCTCACAAAGAAGAAGAAGGAAACACTCACAAAGAGATGCACCCTCGGCCAGGAAGAAGAGTGGTTCAACAAATGAAACTCTAGCTTAGCTTACAAGGTGCAGGTCTGCCCATATGTATATAGAAGAGACTTTTGGCATATTAGCCTAATGATTGGACGGACAGACAATAAAACATGACAATAGCTCAAGCAAGTTGGACTATTCCAACACAACCACACAAACAAATATCTCACAACTAACTTAATAATGCCACTCAATCAGGATTCAAACGAGAGAACTGAATATGCTTAAATCAGTCTGGTGTAGAGAATAGAAGGTGTAGCGGGATGCTAAAATAGGATGTCAACTATTATTAATATACAAAAAAACGTTTGGGCCAACAATATATTAACACTAACTACCCCCTGACCCCCCCCCCCCCCCCCGACTCCCCACCGCCAAACCCCCCAAAACACCCAGCCCAACCTGGGGGAAACAAAAAAAAATTCAAAGAAAAAAAAAACATTTTGGTCCGAACCGGGCCAGGTCACCAATACACATACCCGAGCCCGCCCCCGCTTTACCCACCGTACCGCTTCGGGTCCAAGACCGGTACCGGACCGAAGGACCGGGCCGGTCCCGGGCCCGCACAGTAGCGGCTCGGGCCGGATCACGGGCCGGGCGGCCCGAACCGGGTCCAAGCCTATCCCCAGGTAGTGGTAACAACATTTTACTTGCAACCTTTCACTGTGCACACGTTATCAAAGAGAAGGTGCACACTGCCCTTTACCTCCTCTAGTCCTCTCCCATTGGTGCCAGCCATTCTTTCGAGCATTCTTCCACATCGGTCTGTTACGCGCGAGCCACACCCCATCATCCTAAACTTAGCAAGTTAGCATGCTTGAGCCGAAGAGCGTCCAGCATCCATTCTTAAAACCAACAAGCTGATTGTCCGAAAGCACGCCAACCAAGGGCGTTGCACCCTCCTATAGCTATAATGCATTGCACAAAGAGATGCAATCAGGCTTCTTCAACTCTTTGTAACCTCAACATAGTTCACATGTCTCTTGAACTTCTACTCTCTTTCACCTCAAGCATCGGATATCGAAAGCAAATCATTCCACACTTTCCGATCAAAGGCTTAAAGCACTTAACTGCAACTACCTCCCCAACTAGCCTCTAGTAGCAACTATTGACCGAGTAATGGGCTTCTTGCTCCCATCTCCAAATCAAGGGATCTCCCTCACTCTCAAAGGCATGCTGATAACTATCTCTATACTCCTTATTTAAATGTACGTAGTATCAGATTGTAGATAACCTTCTCAAGGACAATCCCCCACCATCAAACTGTTTGCCAAAGCATTCTCCAACACTAAACACACACACAATATAAATTTTACTTAACTAGAAGCCACCTTAAATGTCAAATATGCACACTTAGGATAGTATCTAGCTCTAAATACCCTCTCTTGTCCAGACCATAGGTTTTGATTATATTAAAAACCTCCATAGATGTATTGCGTATATGTCATATTAAAGTCCAATATATGTCTAAACCCCAATCCACCGATGATAACTTTGAGCTTGCAAAAAAAAGTCCCAGCACTCCCCATTCCACAAATGACCATTCCTTATCATTTTTTATTATCATGAAAGTATATTAAGCAAAAGAAATACATCCGCAACATACACAGGATTGCTTGAATAATACTCCTTCTTTCTCATAGAAAGAGTCTCACTTTCCTTTTTTGGACGTCTCATATCTTTATTTCCATTTTAGAAAACAATTAACAATCTTAAATGACAAATTGATCATTAAATATTAAAAGTCATACATTTATAACATTATAGTTATCAACACTAACTTCATTATATTATATACCTATTAAATTTATTTCTCAAAATATACTGGAACTACCTTATTTAAGTATTATCTAAATAACCGTGTCATTTTGCCATGAGAACATTTCAACGGGACGGAGGTATTAGTTTTTAGTAAAAGCTCTCATCTCGCCATTAACATCTGCAACCACAGCCAGCCAGCCAGGAGTCCAAATATTTATCATTACGCTCATCCAAAGTAACGTCCGATGTTTTAGTCAAACCTAGTTAGTAGGTAATTGTCAATTGTGCACTACAAATTACTTCGATTTATTAAAGTTAATTTCCAACCCTCACACTTACTCATAGTCAACCAACATTTCCAAACAATCTTGGCTTCATCATAAGAAAAACCTGGAAAAGTTAAAAACTATCATATACAAATAATTAACAAGTGAGATTTTTTTTTTGAACCATATGGGTCCACTATTTCGCAAACCTTAAATTAACATTCCTTCTAAAAAAGTCATTCCATCATGTCATATGCCTTGCACTTATCTAACTTAAGAGCTACAAACCCAATGTTTCCTTCTCTTTCGGTTTAAGTAATTCTTGGACTTGAACACTATCATGACATTGGCCATTATAGACCTTGTTGGTATAAGTACACCTTGATGCTCCAAGTTGCATGAGTTTAAGTGAATCTTTATTCTATTTGCCGACGGTGGGGTTTCACAAAAATACTTCTATCGACATTGCATGACACAATTGGTGTTCAATATTCAATTGCCTTTCACTTGCCTTTCTTTGGAACAAAAAATGTGAATATGAATGACTTAATCAGGTAGTTCTCCGTGCTCGAAACTTGTGCTCCAAAAATTCACCACATTTCATCCTACTACTTTCTGAAAATATTGGGAAAAGTTGGGCTCCTATCCTCGAATTGGACTGAAAATGCTAGCATATTGTCCTAATAGAGTAATTAATACTTTAATTAGGTTTCCATATTTTGTATGAATAGATTATATTCAAATTTACTTTTGTTTGTTTTCCACGGTCGTGAAAAACAAAACAAAGTGATGCGTACGTAAAAAGAACCAATGAGGCCGGGAAGGTGGTATACTGGTATGGCTCACTTGAAAGAGTGAACGCCCACCTCCAACTTTCTCCTCCGTGAGAGATTTTGGTTCAATTCTCACCCATTAAAGGGAGATGAAGTTAGTTTTATTGCTCCCACGATTTCCCTACATTCATAGAGTAGTTCACCGACCAAGAAGAAAGAGAATAATAATGGGGTGTAGGAGGTTCGTGTGCTTGAAGTAGAAACCTAGTAACAAGTATAGTGTTAGGTTTGCTTTCGATCGAAGCCAATACTGACAAAAGTTCACTATGATCAAATCTAGATTTACTTGTCTAGATCCAAATTTGTTTGCTTAGAGACCTTGAAATCTAGTTTATAGATTGCATCATCATGAAAGCATAAACTCGACGCCCCATGTATTTTAAAAAACTTCTCTGAGCCTCCATGTTTTCCTTCCCGAAGGTTACAACTTAAATTACAAGTATTAAACCAACCCAGATTTTTAGAGCATCGGGATGAGGCAGTATCGTGACCAATCCAATAGAAAAAATACACTAATGAAATGAAAAAATTAAGCTAAAGCACCGAAGAACCTAAAAGAAAATGAGAACATAAATACTACATTCGTTCCATTAACATTGAAACGTAAAGAGATGGTGTGATTATTAATAAAAGTGTGTTTATGTGGTTGATATTGTATTGATAAAGTAAGAATAAAATAAAAATGATTTAGAATCACACAAGTTTTATCAAATTGGATACGAAACAAGTACAGTGGAACGAATCGAAAAGAAAAACATGATAACATACTTCTTTTTTTAATTGTTCAACATACAAAAGGGGATATGATTAAAAGTCATGCAATCCTTTCATTAGAAAAAAGTCATGCAATAACCAGATTTGTAGCCGCCCTAGCTAAAGCACTGAGCACTATCGTTTACTTGACGCCTAGTAAAACAATTTGTAGGGCAAAATTTTTTCAAAAAGGAGAAAATAGTATTGCTTTTTTTATTTATGCTACACGAAATGCATGACTAGCTGAAATAAAACTTTTGTGAGTTTTTTTAGTAAATGTTAACTTTAACTAACTGAAAAGATCTTAAAAAGAAAAAGGTGTTAGTTGTTTGATAAAAAGTTCACTGTTTGATTTAGTTCTGTTTGGTATACAAGCTATTATGACTGATTAATACTAAAAGTCACGGACTTTTCTCAGATACTACTCTCTGTAGCATCTAAAAAAGAATCTTTTATTTCTTGAAAATTTTATAAAAATTGTCATGTCAAGCATACAACTATAAA